TATCTACATTGTATTTTTGAGCATGTAAATCTAGTAATGCTTAAGTAATGTGGTGAGGGTCAGCAGAAACTTACCTTGCAGCTGGAAGTAGTTCTGTGAACCAGAGTTAACCTCAACTCTGAGGATGCTCTGAACAGCTTCTTCACGTACGCAGTAAGCTGGAAGTTTTCAACTTCAAGGGATGACAAGGAGGTGATGTTCTGATTTGTATAGTAGTATGACCACATAAGTTTAGGAAGTTTCTAACGTGTGGATCAGAAACTGTGTGAATCGTTTTTTAGTCAAGAAATATTTGAGAACAAGTGGAGTTTTGAATGCAAGGAGTCAAAAGTTAACAAGGTTTTATGTGTTGTGTTTACAGTTCTTGGAACTCTTGGAATTTTGGCAGGGATTCAAGGCTTTTCTTTCTCAAATTTTTGACCTCTTTCACAAATTTTTTCTGGACCTCTTCTCAGTGACCAATGGTGTTTTATTTATAGGCAAAGTTTTGTGGGTTTGAAATTTCAATTAGTACCAGCATCATACGCTAGATGCTGACTTGCTCTTGAAGCAAGTTCAAAAAAAGGTGTGATAGTTGACAGTTTTTAGCCTAGGCTGGATTAGCAAGTAGGGATTAAGGAAAAGTGAGCCCACAAGCAAAAAGTAGCGCATGGACCTTTACCTAATTCTGCACGAAAATATTTCTACGCTACACGTGGATAGGTCCTTTAGACAAAGACTTAAAAGTGGTTGTGAGCATTAAATGATGATGAGATTTGTCAAAATCAGAAATCCTGTAATGTGAGATTTTGTATCATTGCTTAATTCTGGATCAGAAGTTTCATTTCAGCGTAGTCTAGAACAAAACACCCCACTTATGATCTTAGTATCCTGTTGCCTCAGCATACTCTGAAGGATTCCTCAGGCTTTCCTGTAACCTTCTTTGATTTACCTTTGAAAACTCTGGATTAGAAGTTCTACTTCAGCGTAGCATCCAATCTTCTGATCCTCTTAACTTCTGGCTCCAGCATGTTCTGAAGGAGCTTTCAGGCTTCGTATTACGCTTTATTACCTTCATTGCATTACCCTAGCAAACTCTGACTGAACTTGCGTAGATGTTGAAGAGCCATGTTCTAACTGAAGACTATGTGCTGAACCATGTTTACAACTTCTGACTGCACCTTCCTGGAGGCTGGCTCAGAAGTTCTGAAGTGTCATTTTTTCTTAAATACTTAGAAAAAATCCCAAGTATTTAGAAATTTGGCTTTTTCCATAGTAAATTTGACTTTTGAACTTTTTGATGATACAAACTTCATATTCCAACATGTCTTGATGAAATATGATTTTAGAGATTTGATTTTGATCCAAAAGTCAAAGTTTAACCTTTTAATGTGAAAATGACTATTTTTCCCTTGCAGGCGACTTTCTTGAAAAACTTGTAGTTCAAAGCTCGGGATTGGATGGAAGTAAACCTGAGGATCCAGGGTGATTTCTTGAGAAAATGAGAGGGCAAATTTTGGGGTACAACAACCCCTAAGCTAATCCAATCCACCCTTCGGAGGTGATTTTGCCTTGAACTCAAGGACTTAATCTACTATAACCAAATTGATTACAATCACACGGGAAATTATCGGTGAATAACATCCAATGAAACATTCAGGGATCCAAACCGGATATAACGTTCATTGATCCAATATAATCTGATCCCTCATAATCTCCTATTAGGATTTCCTCACAATGATATCCATCAGTGATATCACATGGTTGACCTTCACTCAGTCCCCTTTGAGATATGACTTCCATTGACCCAATAGAATCCACTACTAGGATTTCATCTATGATGACCGCATCCAAAGTCTTCTTGAGAATTATGACTCAACCGAGTCTCTCAAGGAACCATCAAACAACTGTTTAATATTCTTTTGTTTACAATAATAATACTTCTACACTAGCTGAATGTAAACAGAATTAAACACATCAGAAGATCCTAATACACACTAAAAATATTACATTTTATTTTAGCTCTAATGTGTGGTCCTCTTTTCTTCAGGTAGCTTCTTCACGGACAACAGCCCAAAGCACTTGAATTATTAAAGTCTTCTTCTTCTTCTTCAAAAGCTTATGAATTCTTTGTTGATCTCATTGTAGCATAGAGAAAAACTTCTTCATCTTGATTCACCTTAGAACATTTTGGACAACAACCCTTGTTCTATCTTCTTTAATGATCACTTTTGAGAACAACATTTGTGTTGTGGATTTGTAACCTTAACATTCATAATCATCTTCATTATCTTCTGCAAATTAGTAAGCTTTACGCAGTATATAGAATTATGCACATTGTAATCAATGATTTCATTGTAATCATTAACAAAATGATTGAAAAATCATTTTGATAACAGTTGGTCTTGTTCTTGTTATAGTGGTTGATAACTTTGATCGTGTTCCAGCAAATGAATGTTATCTTTTAACATTGAACACCAACAACAGAAACAACTTAAACATACAATCTTTTTCTTTATATAGCCAAGTAAAATAGATTTGTTGGCTATTTGAAAAATACTTGTTACAAATAGCAGAGTTATGTCCTTTTCTTTTCCATACTTCAAGCCGGTGGAGAGGTAGCGGAATAAAGCTTTTTCGTACTGTGTACTAGTGTACCATGTTAACATTATATTTTTCCTTCTACACTTCAGAGGCTTCGGTGAGCATGATATTAGAAGTGGGAACATAACATAAGGACTTCAGAACTTCAAGTCTTCAGAACTGCATCCTTAGAGACTTCAACACTTGGTCGTGAGAACCCGTTGTAGCGAATCTTTAGATCAGAAGAGCTTCAAGCCTTAAGAGTCTTAAGAACTGCGTCTTTAGAGTCTTCAGTACTTGGTCTTCAGGACCTGTTTGTAGATAATCTTGGACCTTTTGAAATTCAAGTCTGTGGAATCTTCAGACCTTCTGTCTTAGACTCTTTAGCACTTGGTTCTTTAAGAATCCTTATCTTCAGAACCTTGTTACTAGAGACACAAAGTCTTCAGCATCTGGACTTCAGTTAGAAACGTTGTCTTCAGATCTTTAACTTTGTCTTCTTTGGAACAAGTTGTCTTTTAGAAACTAAGTTTTTAGCATATGGACTTCAGTAGAAGGTTTGTCTTCAGAGCTTCTAACTTTGTTTCTTGAAACACACTGTCTTTTAGAAACATGAGTCTTCAACATCTGGACGTAAGTAACAACTTCTGTCTTCAGATCTTCTGGCTGGTTTTCTTAGAACATGTTGTCTTTAGAAGCTTGAGTCTTCAGCATCTGGACATAAATAAAAACTTTTATCTTCAGATCTTTTGATTGGTTTCTTCAGACCTTCTGGAGTGTCTTGCTACTGTTCAACAGAATTTGTGTAGCATAGAAGCGGAATCAATTCTCTTTTAATGTCTTTGCCACGCCTTTCATCAGACGCAGAACCTGTTTGTTAAGTACTCAACAATAACAAACATTAGTATAACAAAATTGTTCATACAATCATACTCATTTGTTATCATCAAAATTCAGAGATAATATTGCAGAACCAAATCTTGTTCTTACAACTAGTTCATACTTGTGCTCATTTATTTCCCATTTAAAGTCAATAAATCATTCCAATTCCCACTCCAAATTATCATCATTCTAAAGTTTTCAACAATGATAGATTTCCCGTTGAATCTTATAAGATCTTTTGTTTCGATCCAAATTCGATCCAGTTGAAACTTTTGTATTGATATTGTTTTGTTGATTAAATTTTGGGAATTGCTACCTATTTGGCTCATATTCTTTTACTGTCCACATGCAATGCAATATAGTCAAGCATGAGATTTTAAGTAAGTTTGATCTTCTCGTAAAAGATTGTAGAACTTGGATGGTTAGTACTGCACTTAAGATCCTAACACGTTTTTTTACGATCGTGCTTCAAAAAGCTCGATCTTGACCACGCTGACGAGAAAACAATTTTTTTTATCGTAGTACTCTGAGACATCCTTAACATGTATCTTACTATCTTACGATCCAACAGTCTATTATATTATATCTATGTATTCTCCATCTCTTCCCTCATATTCTCTCCTGTTATCTATGTATTCTCCATCTCTTCCCTCATATTATCTCTTTTTAAATACTAAAATTAAAACTACAATATGAATTGGCTTTCAAACAAATAACTTATCTAAACATTTTGTAATCTTCAAACTTTTGGAATGGTAGCTTTTTGTCTCTTTCTAGTGGCATCTGCATAACCTTTAATATCATATCAAGTTTTAGGTCGTGCTTACTATAGTCTTGTATGTTTCCTTTTTGCTTCAAGATATATCAGATATGATTCTGACTTTCTATGCTTTTGTTGCAGTGTGCTAAAATGAGACGCCATACAAGGCTATATTATATTTATTTTTGTGGTATACGTGTATTTCTTGTATTTTCTTGTGGCGTACGTGTATTTCTTGTATTTTCTTGAGAATATCCTCTGATTTTTTTATAAATAATATTGATGTGAATTTTTTCTTGGATCTATCGGCATTGATTCTGGCTCTTGCATCCCAAATACAGCCTTTTAAATCATGTGATATGCGAAGAAATTCGTACATTTTCTATGCATGTTGCCGCACCAATTATGGAAAAGTCAAAACAAAACAAGGAAAGACACAAGTAGTTTCCAATTCCAAAACATTGTTGAACCCCAAATTCAAGACTTCACTATACAACTATAGATCTTTTCAGCGCAGTGGATTTTCAGTATTTCAAAACAACTTTTTATCAGTCATGATAACATAGAAAGATAACAAAGAATACTAAAATCACCATTAATAAAATTTCAATGTATAATACATATATTTACAATCAACAACTCAGTTCCATTATGGTGGAACTTTATTCTTCAAACTGTATCTCACATACATATATACAACTTGTACTACTATGTCCTGTAAAGAATAATCACACAGCTTATTTACATATAGAATACACTTTCCATCTATATACACACAAATAAGCTATTAAGGTACTTAGGTATATCCAGTGAAGACTAAGCTATTAAGCTCTTGAGGTTGTATGATTGAACTCCATTGATCAAAGTTGCAGAAATTGTACCCTTTGCTTAAATCTTTTTCAACTTCTCTGCTTAGGCTTTGATTGAGGACAGCATAAAAGTCAGTCTCGCTATTATTTTCGACGGCTTTTCTCTTGAGAGGATTATTAAACAATCCCTCAGTTGCATATGATAAGAACTCTGCTCCTATCATGTTTAAGTTCTTTTCTTCATAAAATGAAGCATGTGGTTTTACATTGTCTGATGCCATACCAATGGTATTGGGAAGAACTCTCTTAGAAGCCAGAATATACGGTAACATTGGATATTCATTCTGCACATAGTTTTTGACTGCTTCAGGATTAGAATCCTCATTCATTTGATGAAATTGACCTGTTGGTTCATAATAACAAAGTTCATTTGAATCTTCCAAACCCCTTCTCGGGCTTCCGGTTTTTTGTCGAACTCGGCATAACACCCACTCATCCAGCTGAAGCCAAAACAAAATAACAAAAATGTAATTTAATAGATATTATTAAATGTCAAAATTTCGTACTGTCATCACAAAAACTTCATATTAAAGACACATCTGGTGTCTGTTACATGTCAGTGTAACACCGACACATGCAGTTGTATTTATGTTTTATCAACGTGTGTTAGTGTAGTGTTTAGTGTCGGTGTTTCATGGATTTTAAAAGATGAAAAATCGAACTGATGGAATTGACCTACTCGCATAGAACTATTATGCTTGGAATTTGAGATCACTGAATCATGCAACCTATATTCATGCATGATCCACTCAGTTTTAGATCCTTTCGGTGGACGTCCCTTATAGAACACAAGAGCTTTCTTCACTCCAATGCTTTTCAAACCACATGAAGTAAGAATAGGTTTATCAGTTCCAGTAGCTTTCCAATAACCAGCACCAGCTGCTCTATTAGGCCTCAACCCTTTCGGATATTTTCTCTCCCTTGGAGTAAAGAAATACCATTCTTCTTCACCAAACAAAGCCTTACCTGTTAATAAACATTCCATCAAAAAATAAGAATGAAAAGAGAACAAAAAAATTAGTGAAGTTGTTAAGGACAAACTTGGAAGCTCCCATGGATTGTACTTGTAAAGATCTATTTCTGCTATGAATGAAGCAGGAAGAGGAGATGAAGTCACTTTGTTTCTTAGATAGTGAACTAGAAGCTCTTCATCAGAAGGATGGAATCTAAATCCTGGAGGAAGTTGAATTTCTGAATGAGGATTTTTGTCCATGAAGATGAAGATACACAATGTCGACGTAAGAAACTAGGAAATTTATCTTTCGGTTTCCGATATTATCGACCAAAATGGTTTGGTTGTAAGGTTGAAATCACTGTGCATGGTTTATAAATATCTATATGCTGTTTGATCATGCAGATAAGGACAATTATCTTATATTATAAAACTAGGTAGGTGTGTGTGAACAGAAAATAACACTTTTGTCTCATGTTATATGACAACATTTTTCTTCAAATTTAGACAAATGATTGAGTCCTGTGGTGCCCAAGATCACGTTATACATTATAGAATACAGCTTGTTTTGACACTTGAATGACCATGTTTGTCAGTTTAATGCATTAAAATATTATATATTTCTGAATCAAATTGTTTATCTGCCTTAATTTGCAGGCAATTTATTTTCATTTCAAAATTAAAATATTTGCTTTTGGTTTCGTTAACACAAAATTATTCCAATCAGCTATGTTTAGCAGGAAATAATTACTCCATGTAGCTCAAAATAAAAGTCGTTTAAAATTGTTAACTACAGATTAAAAAAAAATAATGATTGAATCAATAAAAATAATATTTTTATAAAATTATCTCCAATTATTATTGGATTATATACATTGTCATAATTTGAAAAGAGTGTATATAAGAAGTAAAATTGATAAAATCTAATCAATCTTACATTGCAAAAGCAAAAGAACTGAACAATTTTTTAAGATTAGAAAAACATTTATTTTGAGACAGGACCATACAAAATTTGTTTAACCGCGTGTGTGAAATTATTGCAGAAGATCATTGGTGGCTTGGTCTGAAAACTCTTCTAAAATCTAAGTTGGCACATGTGTGAAAAGAAGACGACTAACATGACCAACTCTTACTTCTAAACACTTGTATGGTTGCATTTTGGTTCCAAGACGTACTTTTGCTAATTTTTTGTTTTTGGAAAAAGAATACTTTATTAGTCCAAAAACAAAGTCATACAAACCAACCGCGATGGATCTAGGTAAAACAAAAATAACAAAACAACCAAATTAAATAATGACCATATTTACTCTATCAATATAATTATTGATTATTTTACGTAGAGTCTCTCTAATTATTAGAATTTGCTTTATCTCATTCACCACATCTTTCTTCATGTACTATATTTTACGATAGATAGATTTTTTGGTTTTTCATATTTCATACACAGTTTCAGTGATAGTAATTTTAAGGAGTTTTCTTTGTTAAATTGTAATTCATAGTGTCAAAGAAGATTTGATTTATTTTAAATTTAAATAGATTTGATTTAAGTCCAGAATAGATTTGATTTGATTTGATTTAGTAACAAAAAAATATTTTGGGCTTTGGGCTTAGGGTGTAAGCTCAGTTATAAATAGAGGGAGTAACCTCTATTTTTCATAGCAAAGAAAAAAGTCAAGTAAGTCAATTCATTGTAATCACAGAATTTGCAGTTGCAAGTGATTAAGAAAGTTTTCCACAGTTTGTGGGCAGAGAGAAACTCTGCAGAAATATTTGTCTTGTCTTCTTTTCTTTGTTTGTCTCATAATTAAATTGTCATTGTGGTAGAAATTCATCATAGAATTTGGTGGATTTCCAACATCTGGTATCAAGAGCTTTTGTTTTGATTCAAGGGAAGTGTCAATCAAGAACGATTGAAGAATTCACGATGACAAGTTATGGGAATGCAAACTATCCAGCAACGCTACCAATTCTGAAAGTTTACAGCTATGAGAATTGGTGCAAACAGATGAAAGTCTTATTCAGGTGTCAAGGTCTTTGGGACCTTGTAAAAGATGGAGTCGAAACGCTTGGTGAAAACGCTTCAGAAGAAGAAAAGAAGAAATACACAGAATCTGAGAAGCTGAGTTATAAAGTATTATTTATAATTCATCAATGTGTCAGCCTAGACAATTTCGAAAAGGTTAGTGATTCAAAATATGTAAAAGAAGCTTGGGAGATCCTTGAGAAGTCTTTTGGAGGCGATGAGAAGGTGAAAGAAGTGAGGTTACAAACTCACAAAAGGACCTATGAACTGCTTCAGATGGAAGACAGTGAAAACATATCTGATTTCTTCACTAGAGTTACAAAACTAGTAAATCAAATCAAGATATGTGGAGAAGCGTTAACAACAAGAGCTGTTGTGTCGAAGATCTTGAGATCTTTAGCTCCTAAGTTCGACCACATAGTGGTGGCGATAGAAGAGGGGAAAGACTTATCGAAATTGACAAAGGAAGAGCTTCAAGGGACGCTTGAATCTCATGAACAAAGAATGAACGAAAGAGCTGCAGGAAAATCGAAGAGTGATATGGCCTTGCAGGCACATTCAGCAAAAGAGACCAAAGGCAAAGGAAAGTGTTTCGACAGAGGTAGAGGTGGCTATAACAAATCGAATGGTAGAGGAAACCAAATCGAAGGAGACGTGTCGAATCAAAGAAGACCATACCAAGGCAACCAAAGAGGTGGTGTTGCAAATAGAGGAAGAGGTGGTGGTTGAAAACCTGATAAGAGTCACATTCAATGTTACAATTGTCAGAAATATGGACACTATTCGAGTGATTGTCCAGAAAAACAAAAGAATCAAGAAAGTGATGCAAAGCTTGCAAAACATGAAGAAGAAGAGATGATGTTGATGGTCACAACAAGAGATGAAGATAGATTCAAGGACCAATGGTACTTGGATTCAGGATGTTCATCACATATGTCTGGAAGGAAAGACTGGTTTGTCAATATAAAGCCCTCAAAGAAAAATATGGTAAAATTTGCAAATGACAATACCCTGGCAGCTGAAGGTATTGGTGATGTTATGATTATGAGGAAAGATGGCAAAAGGTCAGTAATCTCCAATGTGTTGTACATACCAGGCATGAAGAGCAATTTGCTCAGTATAGGGCAGTTGGTCGAAAAGAATTATAAAGTGTCAATCGAAGATAAGTTGATGAGAGTCGTTGATGCAAATGGGAGAGTAATCTTGAAGGCTCCTATGTCTCAGAATCGAACCTTCAAGATTGAACTAAATGTGATGGAGCACAAGTGCCTTTCGACTGCAGCTAGCAGAGATGAATGGATATGGAATTATAGACTAGGTCATCTCAACTTCAGAGACATCAGAGATTTGAAGAGAAGAAATATGGTTTCAGGATTGCCAGAAATTGACATTCCAAATGAGGTATGTGAGGAATGTGTGCAGGCGAAGCAACACAAGAATAGCTTCAGCAAGGATGCAGGAAGCAGATCAAAGGCTAGTCTTGAAGTCATATACTCTGATGTATGTGGACCAATCCAGGTGGATTCGATGGGAGGTAACAAATACTTTGTTACATTCATAGATGATTTCAGTCGAAAGCTATGGACTTACCTGATCAAGAAGAAAAGTGAAGTGATCGAAGTATTTACCAGGTTTAAGTCTATGGTCGAAAGACAAAGTGGTCGAAAGCTCAAAGTTTTGAGAACTGATGGTGGTGGAGAATATGTGTCGAAAGACTTCGACAAATTATGTGAAAAGGAAGGGATTGTGCATGAGGTGGTGCCACGCTATACTCCACAACAAAATGGAATTGCAGAAAGGAAAAATTGAACCATCATGAATATGGTGAGAAGTATGTTGAAAGGCAAGAGTTTACCTAAAGAATTTTGGGGTGAAGCTGTTTCGACTGCAACATACATTTTGAACAGATGTCCTACAAAGAAGCTAGAAGGAATTACTCCAGAAGAATGTTGGTCTGGTGTGAAGCCTAGCTTGAGTCATCTAAAGGTATTTGGATCTATTGCACATAGACATGTGCCATATCAGTTGAGAAGAAAACTTGATGACAAGTCAAGTCAAATGATCCTAGTTGGATATCATTCGACAGGAGGCTACAAGTTATTCGATCCAGAGAACAAGAAGATTGTGATCAGCAGGGACGTGATCATAAATGAGTTTAAAGAATGGGATTGGACTGTAAATGTCAAGAAAGATTCAGTGGGAATCCTATTCGAAGAGCCAGAAACTCAAGTCAAAAGAGAAGTTCGACAAGAGGAACCTGCAGATATACCAAGTACAAGCAGACCTCAAAGAACAAGACGCATGCCTGCAAGATTGCAAGATTGTGTGATTACATCAGATGATGTAATAGATAATGAAGGTGAGCTGGTACATTATGCTTTCTATGCAGATGTCGAACCTGTTAATGCAGCTGAAGCATTAAAAGATTTGAAGTGGGTGAAAGCAATGAACGAAGAAGTAAAGTCTATCGAAGACAACAACACTTGGTCACTTGTCGAATTGCCTCAAGGCAAGAAGGCAATTGATGTCAAGTGGGTATACAAAGTGAAAACGAATTCGAAAGGTGAAGTAACTCGACACAAAGCAAGACTTGTGGCGAAAGGATTTCTATAGAAAGAAGGAATAGACTTCGACGATGTTTTTGCACCTGTTGCTAGGATTGAAACAATCAGGTTGGTTGTTGGTCTAGCAGAAATAAACAGTTGGCACATATGTCAGATGGACGTGAAGTTTGCATTCCTAAATGGACCCTTAGATGAAGAAGTCTATGTTAAACAACCAGTTGGGTTTGTGAAACATGACGAAGAAAGAAAGGTGTACAGGCTACATAAAGCCCTGTATGGATTGAAACAAGCTCCAAGGGCTTGGAATAAGAAAATTGATAGTTTTCTAAGGGAGAAGGAATTTGTGAAGTGCACAACTGAACATGGAGTATATGTAAGAAGAAGCAAGAGTAAAATGCTTATACTATGTCTCTATGTAGATGATTTGTTAATAACAGGTAGCTGTAAAAGTGAGATCGAAGACTTCAAAGGTGATCTCAGCAAGGAATTCGAAGTGTCTGATTTGGGTGAGATTTCATATTTCCTTGGTATCGAATTCTACAAGAGCAGTAGAGGTTTGATGATGCATCAAAGAAGATATGCAGGAGAAATTCTCAAGAGGTTTGAGATGGAAGAATGCAACTCAACTTCGACACCTGCAGAACCAAGACTGCAACTGTCGAAAGATGCAGATG